GGAAATTACAGGAACTTTGTCGCCCCTGCTACTCCTAATACCGTCTGGAAATTACAGGAACTTTGTCGCCCCTGCTACTCCTAATACCGTCTGGAAATTACAGGAACTTTGTCGCCCCTGCTACTCCCTAATACCGTAAAAATTACAGGAACTTTAATATTATGAAACCCATTTTTTTCGAAATGTTTAATAAAGGTTGTTCTTACAGATCAAATCCTCTCAATGTTTGTATGAACTATCGTTTGGTGGTAGAAAGGAAATATCGTCTATTCCTGTATAATGATAACACTATGTTCGGTTAACATACTAATAAAACTTACAGTATATTAGGATCATTCCAACCCTGAAGGAACACCACTTTTAATGTAGCTGGTGATAATTTAAGTTATAATCCGATCACCTAAGAACTTACATATTTCTTAGCCATGTAACACAACATGTATACCGAATGAAGAAATGGAATGATAATTAATTAACAAGGTAATAATAATAATAATAAATTAACAAGGGAGCGATAATGAATTAACAAGGGAATGATAATGAATTAACCAGGTAATAATAATAAATCAATAAGGTAACAATAATAAATTAACAAGGGAGCGATAATGAATTAACAAGGGAATGATAATGAATTAACCAGGTAATAATAATAAATCAATAAGGTAACAATAATAAATTAACAAGGGAGCGATAATGAATTAACAAAGGAGCGATAATGAATTAACAAGGGAATGATAATGAATTAACCAGGTAATAATAATAAATCAATAAGGTAACAATAATAAATTAACAAGGGAGCGATAATGAATTAACAAGGGAATGATAATGAATTAACCAGGTAATAATAATAAATCAATAAGGTAACAATAATAAATTAACAAGGGAGCGATAATGAATTAACAAGGGAATGATAATGAATTAACCAGGTAATAATAATAAACAAGGTAAAAATAATAAACAAGGTAATAATAATGAATCAACAAGGTAATAATAATGAATCAACAAGGGAGCGATAATAAATTAACTAGGGAATGATAATGAATTAACAAGGGGGCTATAATAAATTAACAAGGGAGCGATAATCAATTAATAATTTCTCAAACAGAGAACATGGGTGGATCTTTCATTTAATGATAATTCCTAAAACAGTGTACACATTCTAGAAGTTTTATGTTTGTCAATGAGATTCATTAAAATTAAAGATGGACACCCCACTTACACCTCACTCAAGGAATGAAAAAAAAACGGAGAGATGACAGAAGTATAGCATAACTGATATACGTTAAATAATCGCACAGTTCCCTGGTGTTCACTTTTTGAACTATAATTCATATATAGTTGTTTTTTTTAACCAAATACACTATCTCATATATAAATCTTAGGAACTTAGAATAATAAAATAAGCGTTTTTCAAATAAACAGTGCCATCTACTATTCTTAATAATCTTTATATTATTCATTATTTTAGTATTTTAGTTTATCGATGTAAAGCACACACAAAAAAATAACCTATACGTTAGGACTATTTAAAGTACTTTAATGACCTATCTTCTCACGTATAGTATTCTTTGTACAGGAAGCATCAAAATTAGCTATTAAACTGTCAGGCAATATTACACATTTTTTGTGTAATTGTGTAGATCGAATTAACTATTGTTTGCATAGTCGATTCGACAGTGGTCAAACTAAACCTTTTTTATAAAGAAAAATTTTGGATCGTTTTCTCGAGTGGAAACCCTTCAAGTCTGTGTCCTCTTCAAACATTTCATTATCATTCATAGTTAATAGTAACTTGACAGTCAAATGTATTAGTACAGTGGCACAGCGGTATGTCTGCGGACTTACAACGCTAGAATCCGGGTTTCGATACCCGTGGTAGGCAGAGCACAGATTGTGTAGCTTTGTGCTTTATTACAAACAATATTACCCATCTCTTAACTTAGTTGTACTCCTGTATATATATATATATATATCATGAGAGATCCAGATTGGCACTCAATGTTGTAAAATAAAATACGTAGAGGCCCGGCATGGCC